CCTTCCACCTCAAAAATCTTTCTGGCCAGTTGTCGTCTGGGCTCTTGAGTATCTCTTTTGCTCTCATACCATGACAGAATGATTCTATTTATGGTAATGTCATCAGCTTTGAGATCTTTAACATCATCAGTGCCGTTAAAAGCTTTTATAATGGCATGTAAATGAACCGGTGCATTTTTGGAAGCAAATGAAGCAATCTTAGCTGCTACTTCAGCTATTTCCTTTCCCTTTACCTGTGTCAAACCTATCATAAAATGATTAATTTATACCAGCCAAAATATAAATTATGAAAATTTTACCTTCAGTTGACTGAAAGCAATCTTTCACAGGATGCTACAAAAATATATTTTATTATTATTGATTTAAGTTTAAGACACTCAAATTTACCTCCTTCAATGTTTTATTCCAAACCTGCCGAAGTTTAACATCATCACCAGTGGCAGCTTCATTGCATTTAGAGCAGAGCTTGTCATCAGGTAGTATGTGATAATGACATGAAGGGATGTATCGAATTTTTGAGTGAACACTCTCTGCGCACACTTTGATAAACTTGTAGTTGACAGCAGCAATGCCACGGCTTATAGCACTCTCAGCAATCTTCTCGTATGTTTGAATGATTTTGGAACATATGTGTTCATCTGGTTTGCTTAATGTGAGTCTGGTAGCCGGGCTATGTGAAACTAATGTGACAGTAATGCCTGTAGCAGAATCCATGATGATGGTTTGGTTTGGATGTTTGGATAAAATTAGCTTAGACTCTGGGAACAGTTGCAAAAAATATTTTGTAAAAGCAACTTGCTTAAAAATGTGAGGCGTATTGATGCTAGTGATGACATGAACAGAACTAAAATCAAGTTTTGTAATTGGATCACCGAAACGAGTGAGGGGGACGTAATAGAAAATATCATCGGTGATATTCTTTAAATCGTTGTGAAGAAGTCCATGCTCATTCTTGAACTCCAAACTGTGCTTTGTTAGCCGTATTGCTAGAGTAAGTGAAACAAGAGCATCCATGTAAGCAAGAATGTGACCATTGAATAGATCTAAGCATGCTGTTTCTGGAACAATTCCAGAAGCTATTGGTGGGTACTTTTGAAGGATTTCCTCACTTGGGTTTAGTAATGTGCCTAAGTCCCTTAGAAATCCTATTGGCTTTACAATGACATACTGATACTTGGGATTAACCAGACTCAGGTCCAGGATGCTGCCAAAGGACATGTAAAATTTACAAAACTCTGTCAGAGAATCTTTATCTATATTGCATTTTTCTGCCATTATTTGGAGGTCACATCGAGTTATAACCTTCCAATCAAATCGATAAAACAAAGTTCGAAGAAAGATCCAGGCAATGGGAATATCTTCAAACGGCTTGTCAATGATAATGCTCTGGAACTTTTGGTGGAGGCCTTGAAAATCACGATCATCAGGCAGCAAACTGAGTTTTTCAATTTTGTCTTCAAGAAGTGATGAAATTCCAATTTGATTTGCTACTGGTTGTACATCATCTTCTAATTTTTTTACTTTCTCAGTAAGCTCTTCATATCTATATTGAACTTTGTGTGTGGCAAATATGGTACAAACTTTTTCTCTCTTTCCTTCACTCATTCTGCAATTGCGAAGCAAATAGTGAAGTCGAGGTCTCCATTTCATGAGAGTTGCATGAATTCTTTCGTTGCCATTTTGACCCATCTCTGGTGGCTCATCAAGCTTTGGAATATCTGTCTCCAGGCCAAGAAAAAGCCACATGTGGTGATTGTAAAGGTGGCTGTGAAGTGCTGCTAGGAAGTGGCGTACAGACTCATCAAATGTAACATCCCAAATGTTGATAAAAGCAATTCCCTCTGGAAGAGACTCTATCAGAAATTTACTGAGCTCTAACTGAACATTCTTCTTTTCAGACTGCTGTAAATCTCTTACAATAAAATCTTGCTGAGAAAGGAACTGGTAAATGAAGCAAAGATGTTCATCCAAATCTGGATGCTGAAATTCCTTGATTTTGGAGCATAATGCTTTAGTAGGATCATCAAAACGAGGGACTTTTCCTTCTGATAATAGATCTTCCTTAAAGGCAGACAGTATAACAGGTGCAAAACAGGACTCGGCTGTAAAGTCATTGATACTAGTTGTACCACTCAATTTTGCAGCCACCATTTCATGAAATGCTATTCCACCAGCTTCTGGTTGTTTTTCACCCCCAACCTGTTGATTATCCTTTTCTAATACTTGTCCACGAGTCGAGCCACGAACACAAGTGACGGCAGCTGTTTTTCCACTGTCTGGTAAGCCACTAAATGAAAGTAAGATTGGCTTAACTTTCGTCTTCAGATTTAAATTTGTGATACATTCTTTGAGGTGATTTGGAGTAACATGAAATTCTGTAAAGAATTTAGTGTAGAGTATAAAAATAATGATGAAATTAAATGCGCTAGAGTAATTAATCAATTATCGGACTAATCAAACTTCGGACAGTTATATTTTGAAAACTAAACATGATTTTCCAGTGATTTTTGCACTAGATATAGATCATCACAATATCTGCTTGCATGGTAAAAATCAAAGCATTACCTACTTTCTTTGTAAAGATATAATTTGCTAAACACACTTCGTAGATTCACACAATAATCGGCCGTGTTAACTCCATTTTCGTCACTTAGCCACAACGAAGCAAGCTTTGTTCGAAGAATAGTTTTGTACCACCAGAACTTTAGTACTGACTGTCTTCTTCAAATACCACTGTAAACATCTTGGTCATCTTTGCTTACTGTTCAGGTATTATACCTTTTTAGTTAATTATCATTATCGGTCACACCCATCTTCATTAATTGCTGCAACAAAGCACGAGGCTCCTTGTTTGTATTT